GTGCTTGCCTTTGCTAACAACATTTTTCTGCAGGTGGGGATAAATGAAGGTCAGTCACTGCTAGAACATGGTGCTTTCACAACAGGACCCAGAATCCTGGGGGTTTTAAACGGCTGGAGGAAGGCTTGATTTGTGCACACTGGTGACTAACCTGCAGGAGGCCATGAGTTATCTACGGCTCTCTGTGGACAAAAGAGGGTTGTTTGATCAGGTTTCTGGAGCCCAAATATGTTATATTACATGGGTGTATGAAAACATTCCCAATCTCAATAACACTTGAATGTTCGGATTTAAGATTTTAAACACCTTGATTGTGTTTTGCTAGACTGCACTGTCAGGTTTAACAGAGCTGAATTTGCTATGCAACAAATTGTGGACTGAAACTCTTGTTCGGGCTGCTGGCTGACGGTTTCATGCATCAGCAAAGCTCAATCAGAGTGCTATCACTCTGGCTGAGACTACGATAGCATTAGTGCCTAAACAACACAATCACTCTAGACTTAAAGCCCTTGGAAGAAGCATACTGTATATGACAATATAAGAGCCAAATTCAGCTCCATCATTCACAGTTCAGCCAAAATCCGGCTCTGGGCTTTGGCATAGGCCTACTACTACACTGTTAGACCTTACCAGGTTTTTTACAGTAAAATACTGACAACACTGTTGCCAGTTATTTACTGTAAAAATGCACTAAAACTCAAGTTAACTAAAAAATACAACTTATTAGTTTTAGTGCATTTTTACAGTAAATTACTGGCAACACTGTTTTACTGTAAAAAACCTGGTAAGGTCTAACAGTGTAGTGCCCATGCCTAATAGTTTGCAAAGCCATCCGCCATGGCTGTGTGAGACTCAAACAATGGGCTATATGCACGCATAAGTTCCGCATTTGACGTAAGGATGCTCGTCCATTTCCGGTTGTGTAGATTAAAGCGGAGGAAAACCGGAGAAAACGGGATTATGGCAGAGTCTTCAATATTAACTGTCCTCCCGTCTTTGAAACGAAACGTACACATTTAGATGTAATTTTTTATATAGTTATATTTATTTAATATAATTTTAAAAAGAAGCATAAACACAACGAGGGGTGTCTGTTTTATCTGTTTTTGTGACTAACGTTTCATTAGTATAACCATGGAGTATAAAATTCGATATAAATTCTCGGTATTCCATTGGACTCTATGATCGGCGGAAGTTATCGAGCATCCCTAATCCTTCACCGGAAATAACGCCGTGCATAGAGCCCATTAATAGATTAACATTTTTTTTTATTCAACAAAACATCTGTCCTAAACATGAGAGTGCTAAAAACAAGTGTTTTGCTTTTTTCAATTATAACCCATTATTAATAGTAACTCGGAGGACAGCGTGCTTTAAGTGTTTTACAAACAGACTGAGAGACCAGACACAATGTAACAGTTAATTATGACACTGCGGGGTGGCTTGGTCAGCTATTCTGACCCTTTGTCCTATGCTATATTAGCATTCTGGGCCATTTATAATAACAGACATACACACAGCACACACTCCCACATGTCTTATTGAGCTCACAGAATGTGGCCTAGAGAGAGAAGCAGTGTATCTGTTTAATGGACAGCATCCTCTTTACCTCCAAACACAACCGTGAGGCCTCAGGGTGGGCACAGAACAGCGACAAGCCACACAGACAGACAAAAAGGATTTCCTTTAATTTGTCTATGATGAAACAAAATAAAGGCCCTGTAAATATTCTAAAAAAATATTGTGTTATAAAAAAACAAGGGAGAGGTAAATGTAAACAACATCTTCATGTATCTACTACACATATGTAATAGTGGAATCAGACCATCAACAGTTTCCATCGTTTGCATTGGCTGAAAATTTTGACCCCCACATTTATATAATGTTCCCCTAAACATAGTTTGTAAAGTAAAAATCCACCACTGCGCACATGCTAACTATATGTTGTTTTGTTATTATGAGACAGCTACATGTACCGAACTGCTTCTAATTACAAACTGAGTGCATGTTGAGAGCTCTAATTACATGGTATTAGAAATTTACATCCACTATTGTCTTTACATTGAAACTCAGGCAAACACTTGCACAACAGTGACAGCTGGAGAAAACCCTGGTTATATAACATAATGAGAGATCTCACAATAAGTAAATGTTCCATCCAGTACAACTATGTATCTGTCGGGATTTGGGAAGCAATGAAACACACGAGACAAGAGTAATGAACTTCAGCCATGACTCATTCACTTCCATTCTCATACACATAGACTGGTGCAGGTGTGATTTAAAGAGCACCTATCATGGATTTTTGAAAATGACTGTTCATGTAGTGTGGAATATAGCTCTAAGGGAATGAAAACATCCTGCAAAGATTTATATCTGAAAGTGCACCGCATATAAAGTTATTGTCTTTCAAAAGTGAGAGTCGACTCTGAGTCTATGAAATGAATTGTTTTTGAAACGAGTCATTAGCTGTTACATCGTGACGTAGAGAGGTCATTGGCCGCTCCCAACAACTGCGCGCGCAGACTTGAAGCGACGTCTAGAACACATTCAAATACTTCAGCTGAATCGCATCATGTCGAGAAGACGCTGTGTTCTACATTGCAAAGACAGTTCAGCCACTTGTTTTCATTGCCCAGGGACGAGGATGTGAAGAATCAGTGGTCAGAGTTCATATTTGCAACCCACAAGAGTATAGCCCGAACCTTGTGTTCTCATCATTTTAATGACAAATCATTTAAAATTCAAAAACCTAAATTAATTCAAATGTGGATTCGCAAGCCGGTTGTTCCTGAAGGAGGGTTCAGTATCCAGTGTATATGGATCAGGTTCGTCCTCCTCCGAATCACAATCTGTAAGTATTATTAATAATGTTTGCTGTTATGTTTTCTGTAGCATAGTTATATTGTGTTGTGTGTGTTGTGTACACTCCGCGCAGCTTCTAAGCGGGGTAAAGTTAGTTTTGTTTTTGATATTCACCAGACATTCATTGAAAAATGGCAATTACCTCCTAAACGACTTAGCCAAATATGACTTCGCTCTATAAGTACTGTCCCTCAAAAGCCGCCCCAATGTGAGTTTCGCCGGGAAAGCTCGCTCTTGACGGAGACGCGAGTAAGGGACCGTGTGGAAAGTGCACTTTTTCTGACACGTTTGTTCAAACACTATATACATGTTTCAACACTTGACAAGCTATAATCCTGGTTATGGGCGTTTCGTTGCCGACAATCTCTGCCTACGGTTTACCAATAACAACTGACTGGGTCATTTGACCAATCGCCACAGATTCGAGTCACTCAAATGAAGTGTTTGGGAAAATGAATTGAACGAATCATTTGGGAGTCGTTGAGCAAATCAGTTAAAAATAAATGCATTTTATAAGACAAATAAAGTGTTTTTTATCCTTGCATGCACGTTAAACTGTTTTGGGAACTCCTAAAACAAAGATAGAAACTTTTGAAATGCTATGATAGGGGCTTAAATAGGTAGGCCAAAATACAGAAACAAGTAAGCATTTAAGCGCCACTGAACGCTGATTGAGAATAAAGTTGTAGTTTTTTTGGGAATAAAATGTATTTTCGATGCTTCAAAACATTCTTAACTAACCCACTGGTCTCACAAGGACTACTTTGGTGATGTCTTTATTTCCTTTCTGGACAAGGACAGTATACCGCGTATACATTTTCAATGGAGAAACAGAAAGCTCTTGGACTAAATCTAAAATATCTTAAACTGTTACGAAGATGAAAAGAGGTCTTCCGAGCTTGGAACGACATGAGGGCGAGTCATTAATGACATAATTTTCATTTTTGGGTCCAATGGGAAAACCTATAGGGTCAGAAGAACACAACACTTTTCAAAAATAGTAGTCAACAATACAATTCTTCTCATGAACACAACAAACTGCAATCTGAAAATAGTAAGGTAAACTGTGTTTCAGTTTAATATGAAAGGCTCCAAGCCTGCTGATACATGTTAGGTCTGTGGCCCTTCATCACAGCAAAAAGTCACCAAACTCGTAATGTGGCTTAACAAAGATTTAAATCAGAAACAACTTTAATCTCGTATTACTTCAAGCCTGGCTACAACTGTACTACTCTTGTTATGATTGGCATGTACCTTAAATGTGGTTCAATGAAGTGCCATTAAAAATATTGTTACCTATAAGAAAGTGTTTCTAATCATTAAAGATATCTGGTTTTATTAATAAATTGCACCAAGTAATTGTGACCTTTTAAATGGTAAAAAACCTAAATCACAATAATTAGGCTAAATATGTTACATAAAATATTACACAAAATAGTAGAAATAAAATAAAATCGATTCAGCATAATATTAATCAAAAACAAATATAATTCAGATCACATCGTTCATAAAAAAGAAGTATCGTCCATCTATGTAGGAGAAAATCTCAGGGCATTCAGGGAAACAATTATGTCCATTTTTAGGCCTTTATGACCTTACATTTAAATCAAACTGAACTAATAGCCAGAGCTCAAATGACATCGAACACTGACCACTCAATGTAAAAGACATGCAGTGACCATTAACAATGACCAACAACATAACTAACATGACTGCAAGCACACACTTAATATTTTTTTTAACCCAGGTGACACATTGACCTCCCAGACAAAATAAATGAGTCGGTTTATTTATCATGGTCCCTCGCAGAAATCATCACTATTTGATCAATGTAAAAACGTGTGTCTTGCGCTCTAACGTTAGTTGTGAATAGCATCTACCTGCATGAATGCTCAAAGTACAGACTTCTCTCATCTCTCACACACGCCACTCCCATTCCTCTTGCTTCAGACATGCAGTTTTGAAGAGTTAGGACTGAATGTAATTGTCATGTGTTCAACAGCAGCACTGCACCACAAGTCTAAAATGCAGTGACATCTATGACACTCGACACTAAATGCAAAAGACGCAGCTCGAGTTACAGATGGACATCTGCCCGTGTGTCATTATCAAAGTAATCAAACCGTGACACTCACTTGCCAATGACCTCGCACAGCTCGTAAACATCTTCAAAGAGCACGTCGTCGTCAGCCATGGTCCAACAAGACCGGGGAATTTACACTCCCCTCCAAAAAAATCCGTCCAAACGGTAAATATCGGAGGATTACAGCGTAGAGACTTCAGAGTAGCTAGAATACGCGGCGAAAGGGAACACTGACAGCCGACGCTGACGCTCTCCAAATTCCGATGAACAAAAACAATGATTGATTCCTGTCTGTTTTGGAGAGAAAAATATCCGTTGGTGGTTCGATTGACAGTAGTGAGCGCCCGGTCCGATTGATTCACTCTGCCCCACCTTCTCCTCCCTCTCTCCCGGCCCCCTTAATCCCGCCACTCGAGGCTGGGGTAATTCAAGCGTTAAAAACAACTCCACAATAATCGCTGTTGAAGTCACAGAGCCAAGTGAGTTAAGTCGTCTAAACGCTAAACTAACTAATTCGACTCTGTCGATCCAAAATAAGAAGAAGCGCGCACTGTTTCTGGGATACAAATATTGGTTGTTATTAAAGTACGCAGTTCAACTGATTCTCTACTCATTCTACCCACGCGCAGGGCTTCTGTGAAACGCGCGAGGCTTTTCCCCCTTGCTCGCTGACGCTGGCAGCCGTTGCTCTAGTTCCCACTCATAACTCCAGCAGCTCTGCTGCTCCCAGCTTCCAGAAAACCCAAACTCCTCCCACTCAAGGTTATGAAACTGGATTGCCTCACGCCATAATGGCTCCGCCAGGACTTTTGTCTACCGGAATTGCTGCTTAACCCAGCACGGCGGTCTGAGCCAAAATGACGACCCGGCGTCTCAGAGTTTGTCTGTCAAACTGACAGTTTCTTAAACAAATTAAGCAGCTTTTGGAAACCTACAGTCAGTGGGGTAGACTACAATGAGTAAACAACAAAAAAACACATAAGGAAACGGTGACAAACTTAAAAAGTTTGTTTGTCAACAAAAATGTGAAAATGTTTACAAAATTGAAACACACTTGCGGCTTTATTTTCAAACACAATACAAAGTCTTGTTTTCCTGCAAAATTTATAAATACTGAAGAGGAAAAAAAACAAAGAAAAATTGGTTAAAGCACAGTTGAAAGCTGGTCATTGTCAGCTATGAGCCTATAATGAAACTAAATGAGGACAACTCCAAAATAAATTATAAAATGTTTCATCTTGTAGACCAGAATGTATCAATATCCCAATTATATATGTTCACAAGATAATAATTACATGGGTAACATTTATATGAGTTTAATCGAAAAAAAAATGATTTTGTTTGTGATTAAATATTTATGAGGGACTTTAGCTTTTGGAAACCTCTCATTCACTACCCTGGAAATACGTCAATATAGTCAATTTACATTATGTTAATGTATTAACGAAAATATCTGAGAAGTGATTTAAAGAGTGAAGAAATCTATATCTCAATTTTCAATTCAAAGTACTTTTGTAAATACAATATTGCCAAAGCATTGATGCACACAATAAAAGCAGTCACTGAATGTTACATTTAGATTCAGTATAGGTCGTCTCACCTGCCTCAATGTACTAACAAGGTCCCAATTAAATGATTGTACATTGTACAGGATGTGATGGGTTTTCAGTAAGAGGTAATTGTGCACTAAATTAAGTTTTTTTAAGGTTATTAACTTTTAAGGTTATTAACTTATTAGACTTACAATCACATTTAAATTAATAGTAAAATGTAATAAATCCTTTATTCAAAAAAGTGAATAATCCTTACATATTTTAATTGAATAACTGAAATTATTCAATTAAAATATGTAAGGATTATTCAATTCGATTTGATGGAATTTTACTCAAATTGAAATATGTAAATCTTAAAAAAGAGATCTGTAAAAAATGGGGGGGGGGGCATAAGAAATTTAGTGTAGAATCTAATTTAGTGTAATTTCATCTAAATTTAGTGTAGTCTAATAATTGGTAAATCATGCACATCTTTGCCGGTACACATCCAAATAGCTTCAGCAGTAATTGAAGGATCTAAATTGGAAATCCTATTGTAATATAATCCAAATTGAATCTTGTATTTGGTTTCCTTATCTTCCCTTTGGAGTTAAGGCTGCAGTCAGAATACCTTTGTTCATGTCTTTCTTGGATATTAATTGGACCTGGTTCACTCTTGACCAACTGAGCTTACTCTTTTCTTTTCTCTATAACTTCTTCATTAGTTTTTTCTAATGGATGTCTTGTGAAATCTCAATGATCGCTGTTGTTTTCAACAACAGTCATGTAATATTAATCACACTTTTTTTTAATTGCACCTATGCATCAGTTGTTCCTGAATTAAGTACCAGTCTTTTAAGGTGCAAGTGTGCACTGCAAACCGTTATCACCGTAACGATCTGGAACTATAAAAAGCTTTTACGTGCTTGTTTATAACTTGTAATTTCAACATGTAAACTGGCCGCTGTAACACCTGACCAATGCAGATTTAACCCTCTGGGGCCTGAGGTGTTTTCTGGGTCCTGGAGGTGTTCTGACATGCTCTGACATTTGAGCTTTTTCCTGTTACTTGTGACATTTTCATGGCTAAAGTATTATAACACTGTATTCAGCACAAACTCTGCTACAATAATATGTCAGCAACACATATGTAAAATTTTGTAGTTTTGAGATAATGACGTTTATCGTCATTATCGGTGTGATCGACTTGAAGCAGCACTGTACAGAGTACCGACGATTGGTGTATGACATCACAGTACTGATTCGAAAGCATACAGCATAACTCAAGACTTTTGTTGCATTCACGCAATGTTGTAAAGGCCCCATATACTTGTGACATCATTTCGAAAAAAATCAAGCCAAAATGAACTTTCTTTTGGAATTTGTTTTCGGAGTTGAAAACAGTTTGCCAAAGCGAACTTCGAAAAGTTCAATTTGGCTGGTAAACACCTTTGTACTACCATTGGTCCATAGATGTAATAATTGGGGGTGCACCTGGAACTCCGGAAGTTTTTTTCTGCTTTACTTTACTTAACATTATTTTCATCTGTTGACTCCACGGAGGTCAAACATGAAACTGAAAAGCCGCTTTATAGTATAAAATTAAGTTGTACTGTTGATGAAATGAGGCACTGACACTGTATTTTCTATAATTTCTACTGTTTTGTTTTTGTTTTTTTGTTTTGTTTTTTTGTTTTTTTTTTGGGGGGGGGGGTTGCAATACACTGCTATACCTTAAACATCAGGTAACACTTAGGGTTCACTATACATTAGTCAAAGTATTAACTAACATGAACATGAGGCTAGATAGCCCAAACCCCACCCCCAGGGCCTTCTTGCCAGTTATTGGCTGGAACAGTTTGTTATGGTTCGTGGACGGGTTGCAGCAGTTTGTCTTTGTTGCCATTTGTGGAGACCGGGTTGTCTGCATAGACCGCGTTTTTTTACAGTGTGTTTAGGGGACATGCAGTTAGCGGATAATGAGATGTTTGCTGTGTGTGACAAAAAATGTTTTGGCCTAAAAAACGTGTGACATCGCTTAGATCACCTTTAACTAATGAACCTTATTGTAAAGTGTTACCAAAAATCATACTGGCATAAAGTGTATTTGTAGAAAGTGCCATCCAAGGAACCTGACTTAAGACTGCAATGGAGGAACATTCCTCTGAAATGCATTCCTCTGTTAGTGCCTTTGAATTACTGCATTGATTTCTGTAGCTGATGATTAGTGGGATACACTTGAGCTAATTGGATTTTGTACATTGAGTCCATTCATTCAGTCTAGAATTCATTCAGTCACTTCTCATTGTAAATTTACAGTCTGCGCCCTTTAAAAAAATGTTAAATCACAGCCTCATTGATGTGGGCATAAAAGCAGCCGACTCAGCTGCAGTGATTTTCAAGGATGAAACCACTAATTCACACAGATATACACACACATCGACCACATGACTGCATATGTTGTCCTCACAATGTTCCAGGCATGATAAGTGAGATGGACAGAGGACACTTGGTATCTGCGGGTGCATCTGATATCCTCTCCTTGGCTGATGGCAGCAGGCTGATTGTTTTATATGTTTGTGTATACATTTCATAAAGCCAACACATATATATTTTTTTTGTTTTTAAAGTTTAGCCTCAAGTGTGCTTGGAGGCTCCACCTTCTTACACACATAACCCTTTTCTGTTTCAACATCATTTTCCACCACCTCTTTGTGGTTGTCAGTGTAGTACAAAGATACAAAACATATTAGATATTAGTAGAGTATATATTATGTTATATTAGCATTATGGGTTAGGGTTAGTTAATTTAAATCTGTAAAATTTAAATGTTGGGATACCATATTTTTACGGTAAATTTCTGTGTAATGTATAATGTTTGAATAGACTGCAAGCAAATCCAATGGTGCATTATTAAGTTGCATAATTATATGGTTGTTTGCTTTTAAAATAGTTTTTCCTTTAAGTTGATCATTTCCTATCATTTAGGACTTTCTCTCCCTGAGGCCGAGTAGTGTTAGCTTCTCTACAGAGTCCATCCTTGACCTTAGTGTTGCCTTGTCCTTTGTTCTGATTATTGGCTGTTTCCTAGATTCACCCTTATCCTAGCCCTTCGTACTCTGTTTGTACCTCGTTTTGCTCTTTACCTTGATTTTCTAACTTTACCTTGCAACTGTTGGATATTGTTCACCATCGTCTACCCACGCTTGCCCTAAGCATTTCTCTGTCATGCATTTTCCATACTGTTTGCTGTTTATTGACCTTGCCTGTATTTAGACCATGTTTTGCAATAAAGCCTTGCCTATGGATCCGCACATCTCTCATCTTGTTTGCCCCGTTACAGAATACTCGGCCACACAAAAATCCATTTGCTTTCCCTGTGGATATCGGCCAGGTATGGACAATGCACAAATGTTATTAATGCTCGAGCAGGGCTTGTGATCGCTCGAGGATTATGTACTAGAATATTTAGATCTCGCCTATTTTTCTGAAATGCCGGACTGTGTGCTCATACTGTAGATTTCTTTTGTGAAGACATTGATCAACCGCTCAAATCACGTTTAATCTGTGTGAGGGTCCCCATTCATCTCACTCTCAGTCAGTTTATGGACTATGCTTTGTTGACTGTTGGTTCAGCGTTCATTGTGGGTGTCGCAGAGGAACACGACTCCGCACTCACTCAGGTAATGGTAGTCATAACAGAGCCGTACCACACCATGACGAAACTTACCAATCCACAAAATTAACGGAATGCATAGCTGATATAAAAAACTAAATGACTAGCATTTCCTACTAGGCCTACTTAATTCTGAAAAAATAGAGATTATAATTATTGCACTTCCTCACTTAATAACCTAGAATACTTTCTAACACTTGATGGCTGCTTTGTCAAGTCCTCGTCGTTGGTTACGAACCTGTGCTCTTTGATACCAATCTTTCATTTGAAAGTCACGTGTGTAGTATCAAGAGAGGAGCGAGCTCTGTCAGGTTGTTGCTGAAGCGTGCGGGCTTAGAATAAAAAGACTGTTTTCGGTCGTGGTGTGGACGCATATATAGTTATCTTTATCGTTATCTTTATAGTTATCGTGCTTGGTGTGAACGGGCCTTAAAAAGACCGTTATCGGTCGTTGGTGTGGATGCATGTAGTTATCTTTATCGTTATCTTTATAGTTATCATGCTT